CAACATACTTGAAGATATTGAAAAACAGATAGAGGAATTATATGAATTAGAAAGTATTTATGACTCTGACGATGATAATGAAAGTATATATAGTATCGAGAGCTTAGATAACAACTTTGACAATGATGAAAACTTTGATCAAGGGCTTCATTCAATAGAAGAGTTCGTTCACACTATAAGTAATCCCTCATGTCAGTATAACTTAGTTAGTTTTCAATTTTCTTCTTATAATTGTAAACAGTGCAATACATCTATTAAAAAAGGTCATTACTGTGAAAACCATTGTAAAACCTTATTATGTCATAATTGCTATACAAAATATGAAGATAAGCAAGAAAATATTTTAGTCGAATCTATAAATTCAATATATAAACCATCTAGTCTAATTCAATTCCCAATAACATTAGAATTTAGAGAAAAATTAGTTCAAACCTCAGCTAAGCTTGATACTGGAGTATCTAAAAGTATAATTCAAAAACATTTAGTCCCAGACGAAGCCTTAGTAAAGTTAAATTATAATGTTAACATGAGCCAGTATAATAATGAAAAACTTCCAATAACCCATTGTGTTCAAAACATTCCTATATTAATTAATAATGAAAAGTTTGTTCTACCCCAGACTTATGTAGGTAATAATATTCCGAGCACCTATGATTTTATCTTAGGATTAAATTTTATAAACTCACTTACTGGAGGATTTATGTGTACCCCTATAGGTTTACAGTTTTTTAAGAAATGAACCTTTATTCCATCTAGAGATCCTTGTATTCCTCAAAAGGATAAATGAGTCATTACATAGGTTAATACTTTACCTATGATAGAAGAAACTACAAAAAAAATTATTTGATGTATCCGAATTTTTAAAAGACGTCTCTGAAGCCTTAATGTTTCTTAGTCATCTTGATGAACCAAAGATTTTCCTTAATAATAAAGTTATATTAAAAAACCCCAAACTAAACATTGATAATCTTATAAGATTAGCTGAAACCACAGAAATTTTAGGTGAAGACCCCTAGAAACACTGGTATAAAAATAAAATTGAAACAAAATTAAATATAATAAATCTTTTATAACTATAAAGACACAAGATAATCCTCATACCTTAGACGATCAAGAGGAATTCCAAAGACAAATTAAGGAACTATTATTACTAAAAGTAATAAGAAAAAGTAATAGTAGACATAGGAGTCTAGCCTTTATGGTCCGAAATCATGCCGAAATAAAAAGAGGAAAGGCTCGTATGGTTATAAATTATAAAAGATTAAATGATAATACTTATGATGATAGTTATAAAATTCCTAATAAAGATGTTTTAATCAATCGAATCTAGGATAAAAAATAGTTTTTTAAATTCGACTGAAAATCAAGATTTTGGCAAATCTGTATGGCTGATGAATCCATTAAATGGACAACGTTCACATGTCCTGAAGGACATTATAAGTGGTTTGTTATGCCTTTTGGATTAAAAAATGCACCACAAGAATTTCAGTGTGAAATGGATACTATATTCAATAAACACTCAAAATTCTGTTGTGTTTACATCGACAATATCTTAGTCTTCAGTCAAACTAAAGAAGAGCATATAAAACATCTTGAACCTATATTCAACGAGTTTATAACACAATGACTCATTATAAGTAGTAAAAAGATGATATTAGAAAAACAAGATATTGAATTCTCAGGTTTATACATAAAAGATGGAAAAATAGAATTATAATCTCATATTATTAAAAAGATTCTAGACTTTCTGATAAATTAGAAGAAACCAAGTTATTACAAGCATTTTTAGGATTATTAAACTATGGTCACAATTTTATTCCAAAATTGGGACATCTAGTAGGACCTTTATATTCAAAACTAGGAAAACATGGTCAAAAGTATTTCAATACCCAAGATATAGAGTTAGTTAAGAAAATTAAATCTTTAATCTCTCAGTTAGAACCTTTGCAACTCCCACTTGAAAAAAGTTATAAAATTATTCAAACAGATGCATCAGCTCAAGTATGGGCAGGATTACTTCTTCAAAGACCAACAAAAGAATCTTCTCGAGATGAAGAACAAATTTGTCACCATGCTAGTGGAACTTTTAATAAAACACAATCTATTTTACCCTCAACAGACTAAGAAATTCTAGGGGTAACCAACTCTATTGAAAAATTTCAGATATTCCTTGATAAAGAATTTCTTATACGAACAGATTGTGACAACATAGTTAAATTTGCAAATAAAGCAAAACAACAGTGGATGTCTGCTAAGAGATGGATTTCCTTTATTGACTGTATTACTGGAAGAGGTTTTAAACCTATATTTGAACATGTTAGAGGAAAAGATAATTATTTAGCAGATATTCTATCTCGTTTACTAATCGATTGTTAAATTTTGCCGGAATGGAAATCAAGAGTAACAATAGCTATAGCTTTATACTAGGCATTTTTAATCCTTTTTTAATTATCCAAAACCCAGCTCAACAGTTCCGCGCTAGACATAATCTTTTCCCTAACCAAAAACTTATTTTAGATAATATCTGGTTTTCTAGACACAACCCCGATAGAACCTTCGTCAGAAATTTAAATACCTTAAGTGAATATTTTGTATCAAATAATACAGCATATCAGAATTTACAAAAGGAGCATGAGATTCTTATATCTCATTATAAAAAGTTGAATTTAGCCTATCAAAGATTAACAGAAAACCCCATAGAACTAACTATTTCCGAACAAATAACTAATGAAGATGAAAATCTTCAGAAAGTTCAATTTTTGCAGGTACAAACCAAGCATGCTAAGCTTCTACCCCTCTTTTCCTCAACTTACAGAGAAATCCTAAGACAACAAGTTGAGCTCTTCCCTGATGATCTCAAAGACCTTATCCTTGAAGAGATTAAGTTTGATGGTTTCAAAGAATGGGTTGATATCCAAAACTATCTTAAAAATAACAGTCCATCCAAAGGAACCCGATATAACTATTTTTTCCTACGATTTATACAAACAGGCACCCAGATACCTATGTCCGTTATCTTATTAGATGTAGATCCTATTTTCTTTATTCCTTTTGAGGTAACCAAAAAAAAAAAAAAAACCCTTTTCTCTACAAAAACAATCATCTGTTATCTAAGTAAACTGTTAGAATTAGGAATGATCTACAGTATCTCTATACCCAAGGATACTCCCTTAGAATATCTAATTTCTTTATGTAATTTTCCCAATCATTTAAACTAAGCCATTGCTTTCGAACAGAAAATAACTCAAAATTTCATGCCAGAAAGTCCAATTCTCCTTCAAATCCACAGTAATCCCCCAGAATGGGTAAAAGATGGAGCTATAATTTTGGGACAGCATCAAGTTTACATTTATTCTGATCCATCTGAAGTCAAGCTTCTAACACGACATGTTGATTTCGTAAATAACTTTCGTGTTGAAATTGACCCTACTACCTTTAACCATTTAGTGCATTATAAAGCTTATCGACAAATTAACCCATGCTACAATCTTGGTTTCAGACTCTACGATCATAATATCAATATGGAAATTTTTGTTAAAACAAAAATTCCTTATGTCTTTAAGTCTCTTCCCGAGATTAAGATATCCCCAGAAATTGAAGATATAATACATGAAGAAAAAAGGTTGTTAGAACAGCTTGAGCTGGCCTACAGAAACGAAGAAACTAGCTCACCAGACAGTACTGATGAATATCTGGCCCGCATGCACAGAGGAGATATCTCACCAGCAAGCCCAATCGATAGAAATCTTGATAATATGCACGAATTTTGAGGAAAAGCAGATTCTCCACAGTCTAAAGATAGAGGCAACTTCAGCATCCAAGAAAAAAGTAGATCCTCAATAGTGTACAGTTAAAGCAGATCTAGCGAAAGCAGATTCTCAACAGCAAAAGTAGATATAATTCTCCAGAAGAAGACATCAACAGTTCAGAAATAATTCATGTCATCTTATCTCTAAAGCATCTTGAATCTCAACCATCCATGCAGCATCTTCAAGCTCAACCGCCGATTCATCCCTCTCTTCTGCTATAAAAGGAGCCTTTCTGCTCAAGTAAAGATCATCGAGTTTTACAGCCATCAAGTCTCGAACCATCAAGCATCCCAGCCTTCAGTTTCCAGTGTGTTTTCTTTTGTGACTTCCTTTAGTATATTTCCTTTGTAACATATAGTGTGAGAGTGTATCCATGTATAAACAGTGTGTCTCCATGCATATATTTTCCATGAAATAAATCATCCAGTTTGCTCCTGTTCAACAAATTTCTTTTCCTTATTTAGTATTTTCAGTACTTTCGGGCAAAAGACTTTTGTCACCAAATAGATTTTATTTAGCCAGACAGTGTAAATCCTCGAATTTTCTTGAATCAAACTAGTACAAGCAACCTTAATTTAGCAACTTCTTCTGTGAGTTGACTCGAACTGTTGGCTTGTTGGCCCGTTCTTTGCCGGTGTTCAGGCGTTTCTACAGGGTGTTATCAGAGCGTTATTAGGTTCGGTAGTCATTTTTGTGATTTAATTGTTATTTTACCTTGCATGTTTCTATCCGGTCGGATCCATCTCAATTTTGGTATCAAAGCCATTACTGTTTCATTAAATTTAATTTATATATGTGATCTTTTGGTTCAAGAAGTCTATAAGTCTTTATTAAGCTACTGTATAATTTTAATTTACCGTGAGAAAATTAAAAAGAAAAGAAAAATATTAAATATTTTGTTCAAAGACCTTGCTGTAATTTTATTTCAAATCTAAGGCTTTTATATTATATTAAAATATTACTTTGGGTCATTTTAGTAATATAAGTTCTTTTGTGGTATAAAGCATAAAGTAAAATCTATTTTAGAAAAATATTCTCTAGGTCAATCATTTTAGTGAAAATCAAGACTTTATTTCCATTTTAGAGTAGCATTTGGGCCTTAAGCCCATGTTTTAGTAATAATCCCTTATTATTATTTCTATTGCGCAGACTGCATACACTTCCAAGTTACAACTTTACATACTCAAGTGCACCCCAAAATCCACACAAAATAAAGGTACCCAAACTCTGAAGAATACACTCTTGATTTTGTAACAAATTGAGTTGGGGCTGGTCTGCGCCATGGAACTAGCTCTCTCTCCCTCAGTTATTACCATGAACACAACCCCAAAATTCTTAGTTAAGCCCTCGACACCATTTCAATCTTCTATTTTCTTCCGAGTAACCCTCAAATTTCCCAACACCACACCCAAGTCTAAGAAGAAGCAGAGCAACACAAAGGGCCTCCTCATTCTTTCTTCTTCATCTTCATATTCTATCATTTCTTGTGCATCTTCATCAACAAGCACTGTATCAACATCTACTGCTTCCATTTTCACTGACCCATCTACTGCCAATGGCCAACATCACCACTGGATGGTCATCATGGAGAGTCCTTCACAAGGGGTCAGTTCCAAACCAGAGATCATCGATTACTATGTCAAAACCCTAGAGAAAGTTTTGGGCAGGTGGGTATGTTTCTATACATCCATATTAATGCTATGCCTACCCAATTGGTTGGTGTTCTTGTTCAAACCCATTAAAATTTTCTAAGTTATTGGTCTGAATTTGGTTTCTTTTGTAACTTGAACAGTGAGAAGGATGCTCAAATGTGTATATACGATGCTTCCTGTGATACCCATTTTGGTTTCTGTTGTGTTATTGATGAAGAGATTTCTCGTGAGCTCTCAAGTAAGTTTCTGTTTCTTGTATATCGCACATAGAATCAGCTAATAACAAATACAATAATTGCCACAACATCTCAGTCATGTATCTACATTATGAACAAATTACAAATACATATACTACTGGGGTGAGTGAATTATACAATTTTGAATGAATAAGTCATTCATTATTGAACAACTGACTATCACATTTTTTAACAAAACGATGTTACATTACTGGTCCACCTTTGTCCTAGTGGCTTTGGGTCTTAACACCCAAGTCCCGGGTCAAGGTTTCAAGACTTGTAGGGAGAGAAGAAACAAAATGATGATATATTCATTAAAAAATGTACTTGTGCATAGTTCAATTGTTTATTGAAATGGAAAAAGGTTTCCAAATGGAAACACCCTCCGATTCACACTCTGACTAATGTTATGTTTTTATCGTTCCATTTTCTCAACTATTATGAATTGTGATTAGTTAAAATATTTTTGGATTTTCTGTTTGAAGGTTTGTTTATATATTAAGATGCCTTATCACAAAATTTGCTGCTAGACAAAAGATGGTTGATTTACTTTGCATTATATTATAGGTTTACCAGGGGTGCTGTTTGTCAGGCCTGACCCGGATTTGAATTCTGTGAAAAAGGATTATAGTTATTCAAATGTTCAATATAATCCTCTATCAAACTCATTCTCTGGAAGTTCTTCATTGTTTCTGGAGGGAACTTCCAAACACTGGCTTGTTCGAATTGATAGGCCAGCGATTGGAGTGATGACAAAGGCACGGATGGTTGATTACTATACTAAAATACTGACCAAGGTCATGGGAAAGTAAGTATTCATACTTCAGCATCTAGATGTCCTGCTTCTTTCATTTACTTGCCTTTTATTTTCCTCACATTTGAAAGAAACTTTACCACAGCGAAAAGGATGCTCAAATGTGTATATATCACATTTCCTGGCAATCCAATTTTGGGTTCTGCTGTGAATTAGATGAGGAATGTGCACGAGAACTAGCTGGTTAGTATATGCTGCAGTGTCGTCTTTTATCCTGTTATTTTTAATGGATATGCTGTTGAAATGAACAAAAATGCCTTAATGTGGTGCAGGTGCGCCTGGTGTGCTATCTGTGCAGCCTGATGTAGATTTTGGTTCAGATAATAAGGATTATGGAGGTTTGTCACTATGTGCACTCTTGCTTGATTGATATTAGCAGCAAGTTATCTGTTCGCTTGATGAGTTTTGTAATTAATATCCTAGAAATTTTTTTATTAAATATTTACATGCTTTTTTAGCGGCTTAGAACTTTGCAGCTCAGTTTGAAACTTTCTGGAATGTGTTTGTGTCATGTTCTGTTTATTGCTTCTGAAATGCCTTTCTTGGCAAAATATACAGATGGTAGCATGTTAGGTGACGTACTTGCTCTAACTTCCAAAAAAAAAAAAAAAAAAAAAAAAAAAAAACCCCATGTTGGGTGAACTTGACAACTCATCTTTCTTCACTTGACTTGCTATGGAGGGATTAGACTTATTTATTATTTATTTTTATTTTCTTTTTTGGTTCTAAGACAAGTAGTTCAAACCCGAGTCAGATTTGGGGGCAGGATTTTGTTTGGATTTGGATATGAATTAAGGAAGGTAAGGAACTAATGCATCAATTCATGATTGCTGTGTGAGTGGCCTTGGAGGATAATCTTTAGTAAATCAGAGGGTAGAGTAGTGAAATAAACCCATGCAGCCCAGTAAGCAAGGTCCAACACCATTTTGGCCTCATGGGGTTGAGAATAAGTGGAAGAATCTGGACTTGCTCTCTGAGACAAAGGTCATAGACAGTTATCGGTAGACAGGTTTGAACTTTAGAGAGGAGGAAACTACTTTTCATGTTATCTTTGTAAAGTTTAAACACATCTATAGAGGGGTTAAGAAAACAAAGAGTTCCAAATCGATATGTTGACAGTTTGATTCTATTAGGGATATGGTTGATAGAGCATAAACTGTTGCGGAGACATGTGATCTATAGACTTGACTATCCAACAATGAATTGTTTTCATTGTACAATGGGAATGTTAGGTATTAGTGAATTGACAGCACTACTAGCTTTCGTGACTGTCTTTAGTGATTTTAACTTAAAAGTATATTATCATTTTACCCCAAGCTCTATTTAGGTGGATGCCAATGATCATTGGCCACTTATGTGGACACTTCAATTAATCTGTCTTTTGAAGAAAGATATTTTGAAAGTAATGATCATTTGATTTTGTATTGAGAGATTGTATTGCACTAGGAAATAATGAAATAGGATTGAAAAATTAGATGCCTATACAAGAATAACATAAAACCAATTTTACAACTTAGATATTACGTTAGTGGAAGCGGCGCATACTTGTTGAGATCCCAATCACAAATCAATACACCAAGTGAATAATATTTAACATTATTTGACTGTTTGTCTGTGGGCATGTGATGAGAAGAGACAATCCTTATATGCTCTATAAAAAAATATAGGACATTGATATTTACACCAATACCCGAGTCATTGTATCCCTCATTGTATCTAAGCCTCAAAGCAGTCACTGCTTTCCCTTGCTCAGCCAAGTGTCCCAAGTCTCTCAAGCAATACCTGCTTCTTTGTCAGTTTCGGTATTCATTCTTCTTTGCCAACCATCTCCAGAAAAACTGTGAATGGAGGTAAAGACATGAATACCTGACAGACTCATCCCTTGTTATATTATATAACCCTATTCTTGTTCTTGTAAGTCTCAACCGTCTAGACCGGTATTTATGTGAGGAGTGATAACCCAAATTCCTCGTTAGACAAGTGAATGCTGATTTTTGTAGCCAACGACAACCATTTGGTTGGAGGAGGTTTTCATTACGTTCTTGAGAGAACTAGATTAATTAGTGAAAAACCTCTAATATTAACTGCTCTAGGAAAAACATCTGAATGTGTACAAATTAATTATTTGCATTCAAATGTTATGCCATCACAAGGGTGGTAACAATACACATTTCTTGAATTTATTCCCTGTTCTCCTTTCGAGAAGGGGAGGGGGTTGGGTTCTGTAACTATGACTTCTTAGTTAAGAATTTTTAAATGGATTCAAGGATAGTTTTAATCAATTGACAATCAAATTTATAAGTGGTCATTGTTCTATCTGAATTATATCCTTTTGTTTTCTGGTCTGACATCTAAATTGTTACTGTAACTATTGTTACTACTATTTCTATTATTAAGTGTATAATTGCTACATCCATTGTACATCCACTTTACATCCATTGTGGCTACATTTTCTTACCTTGATAACAAGATGTGATATTTCAGGTGACACTTCAGAGCATCTTAGTGACTCCTTGGGTTCTTCAGTAGATAAACCAACAAACATCAAAACAAAGAAGCTTTTTATAGCTGGTATGCCTCAAAACTAGGTTGAAATTTGTCATTTACTTTTACCATCTTTGCTCTTGGTGGGGAATTCATTAACGTATGTCATCTTCACATCCTTTGCTTATTTGATAATTAGGGTGTAGACATCTTTTCATAGAGTCTATCAGAGGAAAAATTAGAACTGAAATCTCTGAAGGTCGAGGGTTCAAGTCCCCGTAGGGACAAGTGGGTGTGTGAGTGTGTTTCTTGCCAATGAAAAAAAAAAAAAAAACTAGTTATCCTGTTAAAATTCCCTGTATTAACTCATATATATTTAACAGTTCCTTCAGCCATAGCCTGTTTATTCAAGGGCATCTGCTGTTCAGTGAGCAGGAAAAAACACATATACAACATCTCTAATTTTTTAAAATAGACTAACAATTTCTTCTAAGCATCTAATGGGTTCTTGTCTTGTAAACACAACATGAAATGAATAATTGGTGCAACCAGAATCGTTGCTGGCATTAATTTTAACGAACCTGTTTCATCTTATAATTTGAAGTCCACCCATAATTTTTATATATATATATATATATATATATATATGTATTTTTAAACCTAAATCTAAACTATTAAATCTTAAACTTAAGTTAAACTCCATACTAAATCCATTATTTTTAAATCTCTTAATCCAAATTGAACCACAATACTTTTCATACTTGACTCAGCATCAGCAAATTCTGTCTTCCTCTCCCTTCCTTTTCAAAGTTTTTCTCATCTGAATTCTGTCATTTCCTATTTTTTTTTCTTTTTCTTTTTCTTTTCTTCTCTCTCTTTATTTCTCTCAAACAGGTCTCTCGTTTTATACATCGGAGAAAACCTTACGTGCGGCATTTGAAGGTTTTGGTGACCTTGTTGAAGGTACACTTGCCTTTTCCATCTCATAAAAAAATATATATAGTAATAAAAAAATAAAAATTGAATAGTAGTTTTGCAGCAATAATGATGACCTAATTGTATAATAAGCTATGTTGATTGGCCGCTTTTTGTTGACAGTAAAAATTATAATGGACAAGATTTCTAAAAGGTCCAAAGGTTTTGCCTTTATAGAGTATACAACCGAGGAGGCTGCTAGTGCAGCACATAAAGAGATGAATGGCAAGGTAGATGCAAATAATATCTGTTCTATTTCACCCATGGTTTAGAACTTGATGCAACAATGTTACACTCACAAAGAAAAAGGCTGAATCCCATTTTCTCAATGGTGCTTGCAGATCATCAATGGCTGGATGATAGTTGTTGATGTTGCCAAGCCGACTCCACCTAAGAACAGCAGGGGTCGTCCTAGAACTGGATAAAAATTTCCTCCTCCAAGGAGGGATCAAATTTATTTATTCAGGCATTGGAAATTCATCCTCTTCTCTGTAAGCTCTCACTCGCCATGCTCTACCCTAAAATATTGTGTTCTGCAGTGACTGCCTACATGCCATTTCTTATAGACCAGAGATTCAAACATTTGGCCACCAGGGTAAGCATTTTCAAATTTTCCTTATCCTCTTACAGAACAACGAATCTTAGAATTGGAATGGACCGAATGCCAGAAGTGACCATTCCTGAAGAGAGACTTACAACTGGTTGCAACCTGCACGTGAGAAGGGTTGAGGATGCGCCTTTTTGGCTGCGGAACATCATTTTCGTTGTACAAAATCCACATTTTTCATCTACTTGGAACAAACTTAATACCATCGTGGAGTAATTTCTCCTCTTAACGGAGCTGGGAGGTTGTTATGCAACTTTTTCTTCTTCAAGTTCTGGAAATTTATGCTGTAATTTTTCTAGGTCTAAAGGTGATGTGCCACGCAACAAGTGAAAACTCTTCACCTAGCCTAAACTCCCACCAAGAATGAAATTAAGATACCATTCCAGCTCTGTAATACGACTTGTCGATTATTGAAAAACTTTTACAAGTTAGATTATGTAGCACCTTCAATTAGTTTTCTTAAAGGCATTGATAAAATGGAAAACAGGACTGAAAGTTGACAACAAAACCCTAGAAACTGGAATTGTGGAAAGACCTAACTGAACTTATCGGATATCGGCATATTTGTGCAAAGTTTAATTGCAATTAGTTTGCTGCTTGTTCAATTTCTCTCTTAGATTCTGTTTGTGCGTCTATGTTTTATGCTAGAAAATAAATTTGAAAATTTCAATGAAGAGAATATAACAGAGAAAAAAATGTGTCAAGCATGAAATTTTCAATGTAGAGAAATAATATTTTCATTGCACAAAATATTCTTGCATTCTTTTTATTAACAAAAATCATTTAGAAAAACAAAACACAAAAATTGTTTCTCAAAAACACTAAAAAGTATTATAGTATTCATCAATTACTTTTCTTCACTTTCACTCTACTCAATTTTTAAATAAATGAAATGACAATATTATCTTTTAAAAGTGAAGTGTAAACGTCTATTTAATTAGGCCTTTGGGCTTGCAATTTGTTCTTGTTTGTATAAGGTCCAATAACCTTGTTGGACCATTCTCCTTCCATTCTCTTCTAATTGGCTCTTTAGTCCAGCCCAACTATTTACATTTTAAGTCTATATATAAATTTGCTTGACTCTTTGAGGAAAAGAAAGAAAAATTTAGGAAACTTAATTCCCATTTTTTTTTTTTTCTTTTTCTTTTGCTCTTTAAATTATTTTGATTTTCTTAAAAAAAACAAAAGGGTTAAATTTTCCTTATTCAATCAAAGTCTAATTTTTTCCTTTTAAAGTTCTCATTTTTATTTTTTTTCCTACTTAAAAATCTTCTTTTTGCACTTACGAATGATGTATATAATATGTAATTTTTTTTTCCTCTTTTTATTTAAATTTATTACTATAATTTATGAAGTTAATAGGTGTAATTTTCATGTATCCTTTCAAAATACAAAGACCTACAACTATATTCAATGAAAATATTAATTACTAAATATTATTTTAGTTCTTATATTGGTAATACACTTATATTTCTTATACTATCCATTGGTTTAACATATTGTTTTGCAATGATTTTATTTTTTTACTTTTTTTATTTTTTAATTTTCTCTTTGATTTGAATAACCTAGGTTGCGTTCACTAACGTGAAATATTTTTTGTTAGAAACATAATTTTGTTTTTCGGAGTGAAAATAAGAAAAGCGAAATGGATATTATTAATCCTTGCTGTGGTCACAATTTTGAAAACCGAAAATAATAATAGTGTTTTGGTATGACATTTTTGTTATGAGATGTACAATTATTTTAAAAACCAATACATGATAATAAAATGCAATATCTAATTTAAAATCACAAATCTTAATAATAACCAATAAATAAGTATAAAATAAAATATACTATGACAAAAACAATCATGTACGAGAGTACACATTTATTATGTAATACATAATATATTTGACATATAGTATATTATAATAAATAAATATTTTTATATAATATATCCTATATGTAATAAAATATATAATGCATTATAATATAATATTTAATATAATTATATATTAACTAAAATAATTTAAATTATTATATAATATATTATATATTAAAAATATAGTTTTTATTAATATATAATATGTAGTATTAATTTACAACATGTATTTTGTTTGAAATGAATAGTGTTTATATAGTAACAATGGTAAAAACATATACACCTTTTATGTTTCCTTAACAAATGTAAATATATTATTAAATATAATTTTTGTTTTTGTTGGTAACAGAAAACAAGAAACATTTTTGGTTAAAACGTAGTCCTATATTTGTCATGTTTGTTGAAATTGTTTTTTTCTTAAACTGCTTTCTAAATTGAAATTCTGGCGTCGCCCTGAACAACTTAATTTGTTATCATATATATATATATATGTATATATATATATATATACCTTCATATGCGAATCTGTGTGCACCACCTCAAAACTAAGTCATTGATGGAGAAGCAAATGAGCTGCGTCGTATTCTCTTGTATCTTCTTCTTCTTGTTTGGTGCTTATACAGGTTGACATGGATGCCTTGCTTTTAATTAGTGCTGTTTTTCGTAACTAATATTGTTTCCATATCTAATTCCTCATTCATGCATGCATGCAGTTGCAGAATCGCATAACTACTACCATGGTGGCGACTCAGGAGTGAAGCTTGTCGTATTCGGGGACTCGTATGCGGATACTGGGAATTGCCCCAGAGCATTGGCAAGCTCGTGGAAACAACCTTATGGAACTACCTTTTCCGGCAAACCAACAGGCCGCTTCTCCGATGGGCGTGTCCTCACTGATTATATAGGTGCATCTTCTTCTCCTTCTCTCTCTCACACAGTGACACGCACAGCTTCTTACCATGAGTTTTTTCTACTACTGCGCACCGCGCACTTTTATTTTTCACAAATATATAATTTGTCTCCAACTTTTTATTTAGTACTTGTAATTAATTTCTTTTATCTTTTTTTAGGAAAACTTACAAAATTTTCAACCTCAAAAAAATGTCTTTTTTTTTAATAAAATTTTATGCAACCTTAAAACTTGGTGGATGGCTAGATCAGAATAGGACTTGGATCCACTCATGTACAAGTGTTTAAGCTTTAATGTACCGTGGTTATGGTGTCAAATTATCAACTTTCATTTAAGTTGGCACTGATAACGTTTCATATCGTTTGGAAAGAAAAGTTTCAAGACAACTTATAGAGATGAAATGTCTATATATGTGTAAACACATTTTAAATTAAAATCGTAATAATAAAGATTAGAAGTTATGGTGTAATAATAAAGAAGTTCTTAACAATTATATGAAATGACGCATTCTACCTAGCACAAATATTGCCATCATAACATGCATAACTTATATGTAGAAAATCTTACCTTTTACCATTACATCAGGCATCGATGATACCCAAGGGATAGTTTTACAAGTTTGAGTTTCATTTCAACCGACCTCCATAAATATAGAGGATAGACTTTGTTAGTTTCAATTGTTTTGTGGCGAATTTATGGACGGGTGTGTCGTGGGCAGGTGCAAGAGGCACTGACAAGTTATCACACTGGGCGAGTTATGGATACACAATTCCACGTCGCCTGGGTAAGTGAAATGTGAAGTGCTTATTTGGGATGGTGCTATCTCCAATTGGTATGAAACCTTTTGAGATAAAATTCAAGAGCAAAACGGATTTTTTATTTATTAAATTAGGTTATTTTGGTAATTTTTGTTTAATTTGTCTAACTATAATCTACACAATATGATTCTTGATATCGGTTGAAATTCGGAATAATTGGCCAGCCAAAAAATAATCACAACTCAAGTTTTAATTAGTGTGGAGACTTGAATAAAATCAACCTCAAAATTTTATTTTTCCTTAATAATAATAATAATATTATTATTGGTGTTGCATACAGCTGCATTTCTGGGCACCAAATCTCCATTACCCTATAGATGGAGAGAATTTGGTGGGAAATTGGTACAACATGGGATGAATTTGGCTCATGGAGGTACAGGTGTCTTCACCACATTGGTCAGAGGACCAAACATGACAACACAAATCAATTATTTGCAAAACCTCCTTGAAGAAAATGTGTACACCAAACGCGACCTAAACTCGTCGGTTGCTCTGGTGTCCCTGGCAGGCAACGACTATGTTACTTACATGGCGCACAATGGCAGCTTTCAGGTGAGTGGTTAAACTAATTGTTGATCTGTGTGCTTGGCTTATGTGTTTTAATTAGCACCCTCCTTTGTGTATAATATTTAATATTTTTATTTTATTTTGCAAGTAAAATTTTGTATTTATGTCACATTATGTGTAATATTGACATTTAATTCGTTTTGAAGTAACAATATAATAAATTAAAATTGTTGAATATGATTTTTAGGTGCATGTTCAATGACAAAATTTTGGAAGCTATGGGTTTTAGTAGTTCCTAAATTGTAGTTAAGTTGGAAATGTGATTGGAGTCGGATTTATGTAAAGTCTTAGATTCATTTATGTAGGTTTCGTTTAACTAATTTGATTCGAGTCAGATTTATATCCATTTACAATGGTCTCATTTAATAGTGTAATTTGATCGAAATTGAATATATGTAATATTAGATGCATTTAATAAGTTAGTCTAGCTCGTTTGAAAACATTTAATAGTTGTAGTTTAATTGGAGTCGGAACAGTTTTAATTGTTCTTCAACTAATTTTTAAAATTGATTTAAAAAAGGGTCTTTTTTTTTAACTTTTCAGAAAACAGTTTTCAAAAATTGTCAGCCAAAAAGAATTTCGTACTATTTTCTGAGAACAATTAAAACTGTTATTAAAAAACTGAACCAAACAGGTCCTAAATTTTGTTTGGATTAGCTGTCTAGAAAGCAAATTTTCTATTTATGCTTTCAAATACACACGCACAGTATGATTTAGAAATCCTAGCCCTAAATTTATCTACTAATTGTTGAGATAGCAAAGTGGACAGAAAAAACCCAGTTATCTACCTATTGTTAGGATTTAGTTGCAGTAAATTTAGGGTTAGGGTTTCTAAATTTTGGAGTTAATTTATCTACCAATTTTCCTATCTCCATTTAGAAAAATATACATCTCTAATTAATTCCTATATCATAAACGATTCAAATTTATAAAGAGGAGTGTTCTCAAACTCTTAATTAATTGAGAAAAGAAATATAAATAAATAAATTGATGAGTAGGGGTACTCTATTCGAAAAGAGAGTACGAGAGACTTTTCTTGGATGCATGCAAGTATAGAATCCATTTTGGCTCGTGCATCCAATTGAGAGCCTCGTTTATTATAATTATTTAAGTTGCACATTCTTTAACAATTTAAACGTGTGTATGTATTATGTATGTATTACGTATACACATACAATAAGGTTTATATGCATTCTTTGTACATGAACAAGGTTTGCCAGCCTTCACCACCTCTGTAATCAACCAGCTTGCCCTGAATCTGAAACGGATTCGCGGGT